ATTTGATAATTTATTGATTTATGTAGATTTCATTAGAACTTATAATTTTTGAATTAAATATTTTTTTATTAATTTATATAATTTCAAATACATGGAATATATTTGTATATATATATATATAATTAAATATTTTACAAAAAAATTAAAAATACATTTCTTCTCAAAAAATATATATTTGTTGTTATTATTATTATTATTATTATTATTATTATTATTACTAATAAATTTTTGCATTTTTGTTATATTATATTTTGATCGGACTTATTATATTATTATTGAATATAATTAATTCTTATCTTGTAATAATCTATTTAATTATTATTATTATTATTATTATTATTATAAATTTTTACACAAAATATATATTTTTCTAAATAAAATAAAATTACAGTTTTTTAATTAAAATTAAAAAATAAAAGAATTAACAAAGAATAAACATAAACTAATAATGTAAACTAAAATCCGTAAATTTTTAAACTGAAACCGACGGAACTTAAATCGAAATAAGAAAATACAAATGAAAATCGTGAAATGTTAATTTCAATTTGATCTTTCAAAAAATCGAAATTGATAATTTTAATTCGAATTAGTTGAGCAAGTCTATTTTTTTATTTAAATATATACTCCCTCCGTCCCGCGACAGATGACTCATTTTCCTTTTTTGTCCGTCCCATTAAAGATGACCACTTTCTATTTTTAGTAAATTTATTCATCTTAAACATATTTAACAGATATAAATCAATTTAATTAAACTTTTAATCTCTTACACATGAGACCCACTCAAAACCTCTTTATTTCTATCTCTCTCCTCAATAAATAAATATTTTTATCTATATTTAAAACTTCTTATTTTTAATAAAATTAGTTTTAAGTTAATTATAAATAAATTAATTAATTTTTTATCTATTTGTATTATATAAAATTTTATTCTCTACAAAATGATATCCATGTTGTATATATTTTATTGATATATAATGCTAAAAATATTTAAAATGCCAACAACACTACTCATATAAAAAGAATAAAATAATTATTAATAACTTACTAATCTACACTACCTAAAATACCAGTGTCCTTAACCAAATCGGTATAATTCTTAGTATTATTTCAAATATATAAAATTTTAAAATAATTTGTAATTTTCTCTATTTACATAAATACTTTTCTTATTTTTCTGATATTATTATAGTAAAATATTAAATACATATAAAATAATAAATAGTTATTTGTGATATAAAGAAAATAGTAAGTATTTTTTTTAGATTTTGAGAATCCATTAAAATCTCAATTCTTAACCAGAGATTTTATACCGTGTAAATTATTAACAATTTTATTAAAAAATCCAACAAAATCTATAGACTTTAAAAATCGAATACACCAAAATTTTTAAAGACTTTTTAAAGTCTGAATTGAATACATCAAATTTTAAAAGACTTTGAAAAATCTGAATTGAATACACTCAAATTTTAAAAGACTTTGAAAAATCTAAATTAAATACACCCAAATTTAAAAGGCTTTGAAAAGTCTGAATTGAATATACCCAAAAGATTTTTTAAAATCCAGATTGAATACACTCAAATTTTAATAGTCCAATGAAATCCAATAAAATATAAATTGAATACACCTCCTAAATATTAGATTTGTTGACTTTGTCAATATTAGTAATGAGATAAATTAAACAAACAGACTAAAAAAAATAAAAATAAATCTAACGGAAAAAAAGAATAATATTTAAAATAAATAAATAAATAAATAAGTAAAGTTATCAAGTCGGATCAAATTTTGTCAGCCGTAAGATTATATTGGCAACCCGAGTTGGGATGGCAATCAAACACAGGCAGCCGGAACAATTCTGAGTTTATATTTTATAAGTAGTACGTACGTCCAAATATATTTCAGAAACTTGGCTAGATCTATCAATTTTATCCACAACATGAAATCTAATTAAAAATTAAATTTAATTAATTGTATTGAAAGCTAGAGACAAACTTCCAGCCTGAAAACATGCATTGTTGTTGCTGTTTACGTGCCAATACAATTACAATGTACTACTGTACTGCCCGCCTGCCCGCCTCGTGTGCCACTAATAATTAATTTATTTAATCTAATTTCTTCTGGCGGATGTAACAATATACTACTACAATTTAATTAATTAAAGGTCAAATTGCACAAGATTCTCGTATGATTGATTTTACTAAATTGTGCCCAAATTCTCTTACTTTTAAAACGGCATCAAATTCTCTTGTAGTTTCATAAACTATACGTTTAATTCTCTCAGCGGTCCTTATTTTACGGTATTTGACTTAAATGTGCCTAAAATTACAAATATATTTATTTTTTTATATTTAACCTAAAAAAACAGTAAAAATAAACTTTGAAAACCTCAGAAAAATACCTATTTTTTTTAGTATATTTACTGTTTTTGCGACTAAATATAAGAAAAATGAATATATATTTGTAGGTTTAGAATTTTGAAAATTTAAAATTTATTCGCAGTTTGAGCGCATTTAGATCAAATAGCGTTAAATAAGAACCGCCGAGAGAGTTAGACGCAGAATTTATAAAAATATAAAGGAATTTGATGCAGTTTTAGAAGTACAGAGAATTTAATACAATTTCACCGAATCACATAGAGGTTTGGTGCAATTTAGGGTTAATTAATTAATTAAGTTTGAGAACCCCAAAGGCAGGCGGTATTGTTTAGTTAAGAATTAATTAATTAAGAATATTCATACATCCGTACATCTTTATAGGTGTTATATATATATATTTAGAATGCAATGCAATTCATTAAGTAATAATATTAAATTAATTGTGGTTGGCCATGGGCATTCTAGTTAGTGCCATTATCCTCATTTCTTCCTTGCTATTCATTACTTGCAGTGGAAATTTCGACCCCAATGACCAGAAGGTAAAATTTTTATGTATTTATTTTATAAATGTAGTAGTTAATTTAATTTTATCATCTTAAAGTAGTGTGTTTGTTTGGGGTATTGGATTTTGAGTTGAGATTTGAATAGTAAAAATTTTGAATTTGAATAGTTGTATGATGTGATATAAATAGGTGTTGATGTGATGTTTTGAATGTAAAATTGATTTTTAGTATAATATAAAAAATGAAAATTAGGTGTTTGATTTAATATTTTTGGGGGCAAAAAATGGGATAAATAGTGGAAATCTAATCCAATCTCCCAAACAAACACAAATTTGTTTGCTTGGAGTTTGAAATTGGATTGAATTTTGAGAACAGTCAAAATTTAAATTGAAAATGTTTTGATTTGATGTAAATAATAATTAATTTAGACAATTTTTTTTAATAAAAATAAATTTCAATACAGACACTTCGATTATATTGTTTTATATACTTAACAGTTATAATATGAAAAAATTAGCATGAAATTCATAGTCAGCCAATAATTGACAGAACACTCAACTCACATACTGTATATATGTATTTATAAAAAGACGGAAATACTTTTGTAGATGCGAATAATTTTTTATTTTGCAAAGACAAAAACATCAAAAATAACAACAAGTGTAAGCAATTTAACTTTTGATGGTAAAATTAAATTTTTGATTTTTTTTTTTACTGTTATAATAAGAAATAATTTGTTTCGAATAAATTATTTACACCTATGTGAGTATTTACATATTCTATAAATATATTTGGGTATATTACATTGTAATACACATAAACAACACGTGGGTTGAACAATCCCTTAATTATGAACGAAATAGTAATTTCGTACAAATTTTTTCATATCATAATCAAGGGCAGATGCAGTATTAGGCAAGGTGGGTCAATTGACCCACCAAAAAAAAATAAAAATAATACTAATTATCACTAAATTACAAATGTATACATCCCTAAGTATTAGTTTATTTTTATTTCATGAATAAGCGACGGTTTGTGTATTCAACAAGACCCACCAATAGAAATATTGATGTCTTATTTTTTCTCTCCAATCGTCTTTCCTCTTTTAATAAAACAAATATTGCAACTACTTGTATAATTATATTCTACAGAATTGTCAAAAGCAAAATTGATGATTTTCGAATTATTATTAGATAATTTCATTACTGATGTTCAATGTGATGAAATATTTAAGATATGAAAAATTTAAATCAATTTTCTATAAAACTTGTTGAGACTAAGAAAAATAACAACTGTAAACATTGAAAGATCATTTTTTATTATAACTATCATCAAGGAAAAAATGACGGAATAGCATGGAAGAGTCACTATTAAATAACTGTTTTGTTACATTCCTAAAAAGACTTGTGTAAAGTCAGTATAGATGTCATTGTCAACCGATACCGAAATATAAGATCTCATCGTAAACACTTGTAACTATTTTGATGTATAAATGATTGTTAATTTGAAGTTTAGTATTTTTCTAATATAAATTTTTGTTTATTTATTTAATTTTAATTTTAATTTAATTATATTAATTTATCGACCCATCAAATTCAAAATTCTAAATCCGCCGTGATCATAACTATTAAGCACACAATAAACTAAATATAAACGAATTTTTTTTGTAAGAAACATATAATACATATGTCTGGAATTATTACACAAATATATATATATCAATATATACACACTCAATTATTACACAAATTCTTTTGTTAAACAAAATAGCAATTATATAAAAAAATAAAGTAAAAAATTTAACTCTAAATATCATTTCTATATTACTAATACACTTTTACTAATATTTAACACCAAAAATATATCAAACTTAAAATACTAAACAAATGTTTTGAACAAAAAATTTAAAATTTTTATTTAATATTTAAAGATTATGTTGAAATGAAATGATTTAATATTTTATTCAATATTTTTTTATATGTTAGTTGACCAAGTATTACCTAAAAAAATGAAATTAAATTCGATATATATTTATATTTTATGTAGGAGAAAATGAACATCTTAATTCTGTATTAATTGGATGCATATTTGGAATTGGATACACAATGTCAACACACATGTACAGGTGTACGTTGTTTACATGGGCGATCGACCCAAAGGCGACCACTCAGCAACAACCCATCACATGAGCATTCTACAGGCAACACTTGGGAGGTTCATTGATTATTAAAATATATATATATATATATATTTTTTTTTAAATAAGATAAAATAATTGGATAAATTTTCCATTATATATGCATCATATCACCCCTATTTTAAAATGAATTCATGAAAAATGACTCCATTCGTCTCATAACAAAGTATTTATTTTTTTCATTTTAGTCTGTCCATAACAAAGTATCTATTTCTTTTTTTTTTTTTTTTTAGTAATTGTACTATCTACCTAACGTTACAAATACCCTTGCAACTTATAATATATTATACAAATGTTATTTCCTTTATATCACACATATTAATAAAAAGGTTTAATTATTTCTATTTTATTCCTACTATATCCCTATATAATACTAATATTTTTTTAAAACTATGTGCAAAAAGCAAATTGATACTTACTTATGTGGGATGCAGGAAGTAAAAGTTTATGAAATATTCCCTCACTTTTACAAAATTTGTCCATTTTACTTTAAATATGAAAGTTTAAAAAAAAGTATATAATTAAGTAGTAATTAAAAAATATATTAAAAAAATAATTACGGTCTAATAAAATAATTATAAATTAATATTAAGATGACCAAATAATTTAATTTAAATCAAAAAATTATAAATTATAAAATATAATTAAAATGTATAATTATATTTTTTTTAGAAAAGCAAATTATATTTGATAGACGAAAATAAAAAATATAAAAATTTTATGTGGGACGGTGAGAATAACTTATTTTCATCTAAAACAAAATTATATACCGAACTCTTTATTTGTATACAAATATTAAGAATTCTATATTCTATTTTAACTAATACATAAATATATATATATATATATAGATGACTTATGGAATAATATTTAATCTATATCTAATATTAGCATCAGATGTTGTACTGAATGATATTTTATACTTTCTCCGTCCCAAAAAATATGGGACTATTACCGTAGATACGACGAGAATTTAGGTAAAGTATAATTAGTAAATAATTAAGAAGTGTATTAGTAAAAATAATTATTATTTAGTAGAAATAATTATAGATTAAGATTAAGATAAGTAAATAGTTTAATTAAAATTAAGAAATTTATAAAATTTAAAATTCGATTAAAGTGCATAATTATATTTCCAAAAATAGAATAGACAAGTTATGTAGGACGGACGAAAATAAAAAATAGGGACAAATTATGTGGGACGGAGGGAGTAAATAAAAGAACAACATATTACATACAAATTAATGAGATATATTTATTTTAATTAATATACTACAAATGTAGCATTTAAATTACAATAGTCTAATACATATTATCATCGACTTCACACAAAAATATATTCATACAACATACTTTTAAATATAAATTGTCAAATTATAATGACAATCTACACAATAAATATTGTCGTAACTGAAGTCATATATTGATAATCAACACTCTACCTATTATCATTTACTTTGAACAAGACTCCAAATTCCAATAATTTAGTTTTTATTTACATACCTATATTTAAAACTTTAACATTATTTATAAATAATAATTCTTTTTAAAAAAAAATATTATACTACATTCGTCCGGCTCTAAGGCCCTATTTGCTTTTTTGCGTGTTGATCATTAAATATTACTCCCTCCGTCCCATAGAATTTGTCCCTATTTTTTATTTTCGTCTGTCCCACATAACTTGTCCTTTCTATTTTTGGAAATATAATTATGCACTTTAATCGCATTTTAAATTTTAAATTTTAAATTTTATAATTTTCTTAATTTTAATTAAACCATTTACTTATCTTAATCTTAATCTATAATTATTTTTATTAAATAATAATTATTTTTACTAATACACTTCTTAATTACTTACTAATTATACTTTACCTAAATTCTCGTGTCTAGAGTAATACACTCATATTACATGGAACGGAGGGAGTAATTATTATATCAAAATGTAGTACAGCTTAACGAAAAATTGCAAAAATACTTAGAAGGAGATTTCTACAAAAAAAAAAAAACTATACAAATATAAATGTATTTTAATGTTAATTACAATGACGTAAAATATAAATGTGACCCTTAGAGGCGCGGACGGAGGGAGTATTAAATTTTTTTTTTTTTGCTCGCAGCAAAAGGGCGATGGAATCATTGCTCTACAGCTACAAGAGAAGCTTCAATGGCTTTGCAGCCAAACTAACTGAGGAAGAGAAGATGAAAATTGCTAGTCAGTAATACTTCCTATATAACTCAATCCAATATTTTCGACTTTTTCGGAACTGTTAATTGTTGAGATATTTTAGATATTCGTTTTTTTTTATATAATATTCTTTTTTACCATAAATATAATATATTACTTCTAAATATATTTCAACATTAATAAAACTCTTTCATTCGATCGGTAACTAATCATTCATATGACTTAGGCATCGATGGCGTGGTCTCTGTTTTTCCTAGCACGAAGAAGCATCTCCACACGACAAGATCGTGGGACTTTATTGGTTTTCCTAGCACGGTCATCAGATCGAATGTCGAGAGCGATATCATCATAGGAATGCTCGATACCGGAATCTGGCCTGAATCGTTGAGCTTCGATGACAAAGGTTTCGGCCCGCCACCGAGCAAATGGAAGGGCCTTTGCCAATCCTCCTCTAACTTTACTTGCAACAAGTAATTTTCCTCTCCTCTTAACTAATTGCACTATTAATTACATACATTCGTTACACAAGCATACATTACGGATAAAAGTCGTCACTAAGGTGTAGCAAATATACAAATTGCACGAAAAATAGTTTTTTGTTACAATTTTCCGGCCGTAGTAGAAAATTATTTTTTTGGTAGTGAAGATATACATTTACTTTTGACGCGAAGTTCAAAAAATAATTGTATTTTAATTAAATTGAGTAATTAAAGTAATATAAAGATAATTTTGTCCGATGTGATAGTAAATTAGAGGTATTTATGTAAAATAGTAAAATTATAATTATTGAAAAAGAAATATATTAACAAGGGGCAGACGAAAATGAAAAAACATATACATTAAAACGAAACGGAGGGAGTATTATATAGTCTTCTGGCGATGAACTCGAACATAAAACTTTTCTACTCTATTGTCATGTTAATTAATTATCTCATTTAAAAGTTTAAACATAAAGATACATAGATCATTAACTAAAGAATAAATTATACAATAACTCATTGCGTTTTATTATAAGTACACAAAATATATCGTATTTTAATTATTAAGTGAAACCTCCTTGTTTTTAATTAAAATATATATGAACTCTCTTTATTCAAAGTTAAAGTTGAGTATAAGCAGGTTGATTATAGAAGTTTAATATAAATAAAATAAATGAATATCTTAAAAAATATTTTTAATAAAATAAATTAGTAAATAATCCTTTCATTTTCTAAATGTTCTTTTTAAAAAAAAAAAAAGAAAAGACTTATCTAAAATTAGATGTGTATTTACAATCAACGTCAGCTTTAGATCAAAATAATTTTTTGTCCATATTTTAATATTTCATACAATAAATAAAATATAGATTATTTTATACAATTATAATAAAACACAATGAAATATTATATTCGCCAGGTTTGTCTGTAAGGTTGCATTTACTTTTTACGTCGTTATAATTAACATTAAAAATATTATTATATTTGTATAATTTTTTTTTTATATACAATTGTCCTTCTATATTAGTATTATAAGACACTTATTGAAGTATTTTTGCAATTTCTTTTTTAAATTTGTACTACATTTTAATAAAATAATTAATATTCAAATATGAACTTGTAAAAAAGTAAACGAAACTCTTATAGTCAGAGAGAGGTAAATAGAATTTTTCATTACTTATATATCATACAGTCTTCCAACACATCCTTAATCATCCATCGAACCATTCGTGTAGCAAAATTATCGGCGCAAGGTACTACCACAGTGAAGGAACCATTAATCCCCCGGATATCCCGTCCCCTAGAGACACGGAAGGGCATGGGTCGCACACGGCGTCCACAGCAGCCGGTGGCTCGGTGATTGGGGCAAATTTATACGGTCTTGGGACCGGAACGGCTCGTGGAGGGGTTCCGTCAGCGCGAATCGCAGTGTACAAAATTTGCTGGATCGATGGCTGCTCGGACGCTGACATTCTGGCTGCATTTGACGATGCAATCGCTGACGGGGTGGATATAATATCCATTTCTGTAGGAGGTTTCGCTGCTTTGGACTACTTCGAAGATTCCATCGCCATTGGAGCATTCCACGCGATGAAACACGGAGTTCTCACGTCTAACTCCGGCGGTAACACAGGTCCTGACCCAGAAACGATCGTGAATGTTTCGCCGTGGTCGCTCTCCGTCGCCGCGAACACCATCGATAGGAAGTTCCTCACTAGAGTGCAGCTTGGCAATCAAAAGACGTATGAGGTGAGCCATTTAAAGCTATTTATAAGAAAAATTGCAAATTCAATCATATATACTTATAGTCAATTACTTCCTCCGTCAATTAAAATTGTCGCTATTCTTAATTGTCCACTAAATTTATATATATTTTATTTATAATAAATAATTTTATTAATCTTTTAACATATAATAATTAATTTATCGATATTTTTTATTTATTTATTTTTCATCACTTTTTATCAGTTCTTTAATAAATTTTCTATAATATTTTCAATTTATTCCTTGTTTACTCCACTTTAATAGTAAAATATTATTTCTTAATGTCCGCGTTCAAACAAACTTACATATGTTTACCAGATGAACAGAATATTATTTTTGTCTCCAATGTGTTATATTACTATATTTTAGTTTCATATTTTGCGAAAGAACATTTTATTGTCATTTCGATGACAAAAACTAAATGTTTTTTTAAGGTATAGTATCAAATACAACCGAAGAAATAGATAAAAAAAAAAAGTTTATAATTTGTTGTAAAGATAAGACTCCTATCTTTCAAAGTAAACATTAAAGCTCACACTACTTATCGCTAGGGCGCAAGTGTGAACACGTTCGTGTCGACGGACAAGAATGTCCCTTTGGTCTATGGTGGCAACGTCCCCAACACCGCAGGAGGCTTCGATGGCTCAACTTCAAGGTAATATTATTTTGAACTTTTTTACGTATATATTTTTCAAAATTTTGGCTATATTCATTAATAATATTCTTTTTCAAAAATAATAAATTAAATATTTATCTATTATCATAAAACAGCACATCAAATACAATTTTTTTGTTACTATTTTTGAAAAAAATTTAAAACCATATATCTTTCAAAAATTTTAATTTTGTTTCTATCATTTCATATTCAACCAAATTTGTTACAAGACACTATTGGAGGGTGATTTTACGATAAAATCCAAGTATCGGATATCCTAATAATCATTATAGAATAACATTTGATGAGTTAACGAAAGGTATTGCGAGCGGGATTCATTGGACCCGAAATTGGTGAAGGATACAATTGTTCTTTGCGACATGCTGAATGATGGCGAGGGGGCAGCTGCAGCCAATGCAACGGGAACCATCATGCAGGACAATGGCTTCCGCGATCTTGCCTACTCGTTTCCCCTACCCGTGTCTTATGTTGGAACCAAAGATGGCGCTCAAATTTATGACTACATTAACCAAACAAGGTTTTTCTATTACTCGCTATTTAAAATATCTTCGAATTATATATTTTTGAAAGGAAATTAACTTTTTTTATTTTTATTTTTTATTTTTTCCTACAAATTACTTCATTGATTTTATCTGAAATATTTACATAAGAATAATGTGATCTTTGAATAATTGTAAGAGAATAGTATAATGACGATAGAAAAAGATTTACATGAATTAAATTACTATTTTTATAGGATAAAGGGAAATGATATATATATATATAAACTGATATTTAATATAGTACAAAATGTAACTGAATCATCTGTATTTAATATAAATGTATAAAATATATTGTAGTATAAAATTGTATAATTTGGTTGTAGATAGGGGTGAAAAGAGACCACATCAGGCTTTGGCTAAATAGCCGGACCTATTTTATAAAACTAAAGTCTGAGTCTGTCCTGTCGGCCTATTAAAAAATATATATATATCTAAGGCTTAGACCTGACTTACTTTAAAGTTTGGCCTGGTCTACGAGCCTATTTAAAAGCTTATATAATATTTTCTTATTTTTTATTTTTCAAACTTAATATTTGTAGAAAAATATATATAATTATTTATTATATATAATAAGTCAATTAAAATAAATTAATTTTTTAGTTTTTATTGTCACCAAATATAATTTTTTATAAATTAAAAACAATTAAAAATATAATATATATATATTAGATAAAAAATATACTATATAAATATATAAATAGGCCGGCCTGATAAGCTAAAAAGGCTTTTCGTAAAGCCTAAGTCTGCTCTATTTATTTAAAACAACTTAAATATACAGGCCAGGCCAAACCAAGCCTTATGCAGGCGAGACTGTAGGCCCTGACAAGCCGTCTGGCCTATTTCCATCCTTAGCTGTTGATCTTGTGTTGATCCGGCCAAGTCATGGTACTAATCATCATATGCTATAGGAAAAACTAGCTTATATTTATACATATATCAGGATATGATGTGTTACAAGATAGTATATATTGAGTTATAATATAATATATATTATATTATAAATATAATGATATATGTATAAATATACGTTGGTCATCCTATAACATATGATAATTCAGTCAAAGCTGATTTGATCGGACCAACTAATCCATACTTATATAATTACTATTGTATCACTGAAATTGATATTGTACCCAGAATTCTTATATTTGTGCACAGAAAAAATTAAGGTTTTATAAATATATATATTTATTTATTTATTGTGAAGTTATACACATTAACATTTTATTAATTTATATTGAAAAATGTTTATTGTTTTTTCCATAATATATATACATATATATATATAATTATATATATGTAATCACGTTATCAATGTGGAAAATTTGAAAATTTTAAAAAACAATAAAATTATTAAGGGTGTGTTTCTTCAACTCCAAATTTGGAATTTTTATTGTGCAAACAACAAAATTGGGGTTGTCCATGTCCGGCCGACAACCTGCAATGTTTTTTAAAAAAATAAAAATATAATTTAACATTTGTTATAATTATAGGGAAAAAAATATATCAAATATATATGTCATTTTGTAAATAATAAAATTTTTTATAATACAAATAAATAAAAATTTAAATATATATGTGTTGGGTATAATATAAATTTATAATCAAATCATATAATAAAAATTTTATCAATTAAATTTAATACAGATTTATATTGTTTTATTCATTATCCATCAAATTAATACACATCAAAGCTCTCCAAACTCGAACCAAATCCAAAACATAACAGAAACAACAAAATTCAAATTCATCCCAAAATTCAAATAAAAACCAAACTCAAACTCAAATTCTCCCTAATCCCCCTAAAGAAACACACCCTAAGTAATTGATAGGATGATTTGTAATAATTTTTTTTTTTTTTTTTTAAAAAAAGAATTGATACAACATTTTTTAAGAAAACTTTTTCTATTAATGAATCCAAACAAAAATTCTAAAAGCTCTCTTACTTAAATTTATTGGATTCGATAATCTTGAACAGTAAAGCAACAGCGACAATTTCCAAGAGTGTTGGTGTGAACGAGACGCTAGCCCCTTTTGTCGTCTCATTTTCGTCGAGGGGGCCCAATCCCATCACCAAAGACATTTTGAAGGTGACCTACCTTACGTATATTTTTTAAATTATTATTTAGGATTTTTGAAATTTTTAAATATACCGTTGATGATGAATTAATTAGTGATAATTAATTAAAGGTGAATTAATATATATATATATATATATATATATAGCCTGATCTAACAGCACCTGGAGTGGACATTCTAGCGGCATGGTCGGAGGCAACAACTGTAACGGGATTCCCCGACGATCCGAGGGTTGTGCCGTACAACATTATTTCGGGGACGTCCATGTCCTGTCCCCATGCCTCCGCTGCGGCAGCTTACGTAAAATCCTTCCACCCCACATGGTCTCCCGCCGCTATCAAGTCGGCTCTCATGACAACCGGTAATTAACCTTTCTTTCATCTCAATTTAATGCTTCATCAGTCCAATTTCTATTGTTCTAAAGTATATTTGCACGATTTTTTAGGTAATTGTCTTTTTGTTATGAATTGACAAATTTGCCCTTAATCGTATGGTAGAAATTCAAAGTAATAAATGAATGAATGGTAAAAATGTAAAATTTGTGTTTAAAAAATGAAATAGGACAATAGTTGTTGAACGTTTATCTGTTTTATCCAAATTATAATTAAAAATAAATTATAGTATATAGATACTAAAATATTTTTAATTTTTTTTTAAAATTTTAAATACCACTTTCCTTTTGTACTTAGTAGGAAAAAATGTTAAAATAAAAGAAGTAAAGTAATATATTTCATTTGGACAAAGAGATAGGGAGTATATAAATGATTGTTGGAAATAATATTATTTACTAAATTTATGCACAATTTATTTTATAATAATCAATTTATTTATCGGATAATTTATTATTATTATTTGAATATTAAAATATTATTATTTTCGAAGAAACCCTGAAATTCTACTGTTAATAAACAGTGAAATTCTATTGTTAAAAAATTAAAAAAAAAAAAAGAAAAAAAGAAAAAGGAAAAAAAGAAAAGAGTCTGAAGTTGGATTTGTTTTGTAAACAACGCAGCTGCTCCTACGAGTGGCATAAAAAACAAGGACGCCGAGTTCGCATACGGGTCGGGTCAGATCGACCCGGTAAAGGCGAGGTCCCCAGGCCTGGTCTACGACATTGCAGAATCAGAGTACGTGAGTTTCCTCTGCGGCCAAGGCTACAGCAACAAGAACTTACAGCTCGTCACCGGCGACAACGCCACCTGCACCTCCGCCACCGCCGCCTACGACCTCAACTACCCTTCCTTCGCCGTCTACACCCGCCCCGGACGTTTTGTGCAAGCCACGTTGCGCCGCACCGTCACGAACGTGGGGCCCGCATTGTCGACGTACAGAGCGGCGGTGGATTCGGTGCCGGCGCTGAGCATACTAGTGCAGCCGACCACTCTAGCTTTCAACGCCGTCGGAGAGCAGCTCAACTTTACTGTTACGATCACTGGGATGGCCTCCGGCGGGATGCTAACGGGTCAGTTGGTTTGGGCTGACGGGGTGCACCGAGTTAGGAGCCCAGTGGTTGTCCATTCTGCATGACTATCATCGCTATGAGTATGATCGAATAAAAAGGTAATTGATATATATTATATTTATTTTATCGAACCTATTTTTTGCGAGCAAAATAAAATGGTAGAGTTTATATAACGCGGGGTGCCTAAAAAACACAAAAAGCGCCGTCTGTGGGAATCGAACCCACGACCACATGGTTAAAAGCCATGCGCTCTACCGGCTGAGCTAAGACGGCTTACGCTGTTAATTTTCAGCGTATATTTATTTAATGATGTTCTTAAATCGATATATTGGTTACACCTTCGATACGTACAAACACTCATTTTTTTTTATGGCGTGTTTGTTTTGAAAAGATTTGGGAGAATTGGGTTTGAGTTTTTTTGATTGAATTTCAATTTTAAGGTGGATTTAGAATTGTGTTTTTTTTTTAGATTTATATGTTTAATTTGGGTTTTGGGAATTTTAATATATATTGATTTAATAAGAAATTATTGTATAGTTGAAAAAGTGTAATATAATAGTTAATTAATTAATTTTTTTCCTTGGGTAAATAAAAAATAATGTTTATAAAAAAGAACATATGTTTTATTGTACACCGTTTAGATCGTATGAATTAAAAAATAATAATTATTGAAAAAATAAAATTTTAAAAAAAATAAAATTAAAATTTACAGGAATAAAACAAAATCAAAACAATTAAAACTAGTCAAATAAACACGTGTGCACAGAAGAAGCTTGTACAGAAGTTGTTCTCTACCATCGAATTTATGTCGGGCCCATACCAAACCAAATAGTGTCTCCACAATGTCAAATTCGAAACCAACACTAAAGGAACATACCCTTAATTTTAACCATACGCACAATTAACCACAAATTAATTGAAAGAATTAGATTAAATATGATCATAGCAAAACTTCCCTGATAAAAAAATAAGGTAGAAAAACTCAATTCAAATATTCAATCGACTACAAAAGAATCCATATTGGATCATGCAATTTATATACTAACTTTCGCTCGGTTATGTGTTAATATTAATATGGTATATGTGAAGTAGTGGATCTATGTGAAAAATCTCCACTACTAAATGTTAATGTGATCTATATGAAGTAGTAGGTATATGTGAAAAGTCTCAGCTACTCCACTATCTTCTCACTCTTCCTTAAGTTTCTCTTAAATATGTCGGTTACTTTTTTTTTATAAAAGTAATTGAGACATGATTTTTAGAGTTTTTGGTCACTAAACATCACTATATAAAGGCTTCCACACTATCTAGAAAAATAGTACAAGTGCTTAGAAGAATTAAGAAAAAATTGCATTCAAGTTCGACACCAGTAGCCGGAGGTATATTTTTGGAGTTCATTTTAGTTTTGATTCTTCGAGTTTTATTTTGCATTTAATCTATTATTATATTTTCATTTGGTATCAGAGCATGTTTTTACCTCTTACCTTAAAAACAAATTTATTTGGTTTGAGATATTTTCTAGAAATTGATGTTGAAAATAATTATGAGATCAATTTTCTTGTAATATTATGTGATTAGTGTAGCTTTAATTAATTTTGAAATAACTACAGTTTTATGATTAATTGAAATTATATGTTATATTTACAATCGCATATAGTAAATAACATAATTTGTAATTAACTGTACGTGATATATGAAATTTATCCACAAAAATTTTGTTATATTTGTATGACTAACTAGGATACTATATGGATTAGAAAAAGAATATAGTTGATTGTTTTATCATATATGTAGGCATTAAAAAAATAAATGTTTAAATTCAATTAAATATCACATATTTTAGAAGAAAATAAAATTTCAATAAAATAAATATATTGTGTTTAATTATGCATAAATATTAATTCTTATACAATAAATATCAATCATTAATACGAAACCTATTTAAGATTGAAGATATCGTACAAATACTATGTGCATATAAAGAGTCATAATAAATTTGATAGTAAATTAAATAAATTGTCAACAAAGGAGTATTATAATTAATATTTTCCAAGAAAAGAAATAGTATAAAAATTTTGACTAGAAATGAAGACGTGCAATCAATTTTTTTTAAAATTGAAAACAACATCTGAAAAGAAAAAAAAGAATTACAAAATCTTCCCAACGGCTAATCAAAATGCACCACATGGCATCATTCGAAAATGAAGCTGGGGCTACATCTCTCCTATAAATAAGGGTCTTGTCCAATTCATTTGAAACACCAGAGTTCATTCAAAAACTCTCTACATTATTCTTCATGTTCTTTATGTTCTTCGAAGCATTCTTCGTAAAAAAGTAATTAATTTTGACAAATAATTTAATATTGGTTGATGAATCGATAAATTAATATTTTTCATCGTATGTCCAAGCCGGAGAAAAGATCAAAGCACCAAATCCATCAAAATAAGTATCGAAAAGCAAAGCCGATGATCAAATTTGCCCACACGGAGATCGAAATCCTTCAAAACTCGGCAAAGTTAAATCAAAGATCAAATCCACCAAAAATTTGTATTAGAGGTCAAATCCCAAAAGCCTAGAGAGAAGCCTTCGAAGCCGAGTTGGAAACAAATTGACTCAAAAAGAGAATCAAAGGTCCCAAATAGATAATAGGTCCTGCATTGATTTAAATTAAATATAATTTGTACAAGATTTTGTGTTTATTAAAAATAACACAATTTATTATCTACAATATGATTAAATGAGTCTAATCGAATTAAAATATTAACCCACATGCATGTTTTATGTCAATAGATTCATATTTTTTCATGTCTTACATTGTTAAAACATACTATATGGTTTATTTGTTCTTCAATTGAATTACGATTTAAGCATATTTATTTTGTTACTGCAACAATTCAATCTATTAATGTCTCTAATATGAAATCTAATATTCCCGACTTAATAAAGACAATTATAAAGTATGAAATGAGAGAATTTTTCTGCATTTAGGGTGGATGGACATAGATTATGCCATAAAAAAAAGATGAACCATCTCCTATTACTAAAAATAGCACTCCATATGAGGTCGATCTTATGAAAATAGGAGAGATATAACCGTCTCTGCGTTATGTTCATAAAGACTCGAGTATATGCTGAAATTAGGGGGTTTGTTGAGCATTGTACTAATATTCGTGCCTAGTTTAAAGCTATCGACGATCAATTTGTGACATTTGATAAGGCACTGCTAGTATCCTGATAATACAATTATCATCCTTAAAGCTTACCGGGATAAGTTGCGTATGAGGGATATAACGGCTCAATTAAAGCAACTGGAAGTTGATATATCTAATTCCCTTACCAGTCAACGACGATAGCACCGCTTGAGCTGCACTGATGCCCTCTAACCATCCAGGCAAGTGAAGAAAATCTGTGCTCTTACATCCCAAAGCAAGCGAAACGGCAACTAGAAAGTTTTGGCCAGTGCAAGTGCCTCAACAGAGTAACCACCTTTAACTGTCTAACTGCCTAGCGGTTTCAATTGTCACTTAACTGCTCTACAACCGTCGTTTTCATAGGCCTATAAATAGGGACATATGACATTTGTACATATCACTACGTGATACACGACATACATTAATTTCTGCAAATTTTGGTGCTTTCCGAAAGTTCTAACCCTGTAAGAGAGTTCTTTAGATAGGAATGGCCAGAGGAGTTGAGATCTTCTCCTCATCTGGCCGCTCACCTTACCATTTTCTGGAATAGTTTACAGCTTTTATTATTGCTTTTGTAATGTAGATTTTTACCGTTTTCTTAGTATTTAATGAAATATCAATATTTCTTCATATTCACTTTCACCGCTGCTTCATTTTTGTGTCAAAATGTTAGGATTGGAATTCTATTTCACTGTGGAAGAATATAGAAGAATCGACTATCTAAGCCTAGTTTCGTGTCATATTCTGTAACAGGTTCTAAGTAGTCCAATGTAGTTAAGTACGCGGGAGCCTTGTCCACCTGCTTAGCTGTTTTTCTGAATTCGATTCTAATTAAAGAGAGGTAACAAAAGGGTAAAGCCATTAATGAGACAGAGATTATGATAATTAATGGGGCATAGCCGCTGGTCTACAGCGTCACAGAAATGTCTAATGACTATAGAATTTCTTACTTATAATATTCTGATTCTAAACGTTATTGAAGTCTTGTTGTAAATCCCTTAAGGTCAAGTACCAACGAAATCAGCTTCCGTGTTAATCATTTTGTGCAATTACATTAACTTCTTCTATCGTTATGTGTTATAATATACGTTTCGCTTATTCATTATCATCATTTCGCTCATTACATCCGTGAGAACCTCGTCATCTAATAACATACAGATCAAACACATTATTTGGTCTTCTTTATCGCTCACATAATGATAATTATATATATATAGTCCGCTCTCTTCACCTGCTCGCCCTCGCTCACCACCGTCTTCACTGCACTCATCACTTGCATACTGCCTCCGCTAAATCTCACACCACCCACTCACCATTACTCGTTTTACTTTAAATTATGTAGTAGTTTAACTCTCTGGCTCATTCGCGAGCGAACGAGCCTTATTGGTTTTTCGCTGCGCTCAACTTTTATAAAATTCTTGATTAAATTTCGCAACTCAAATCCCTATGTTCGACCTAAAAACTCACCAGTATAAAGAGCATAAATTAATGTGATAATGTGATTCAGAGTCTACAACTTCATTTTCAGTATCTATATATGAACATATTCAATAATGCACGCTTCACTCAAAAAACTCATAACAAATTTCCCTACCACTATTTTAAATAACTAAAATCGCTTATCAAATTCAATCCAATCATCTCTGAGATATTCTGCTTTGAATTGATATTCTCAATCTTAACAAACTTATTTTTGCTTTTTCAAACAAAATCATTTTTAATTTCAATCTGAACCATATACTATATACAACATAAAAACATATCACTACTTAATTTGTACCATAAGCATCATGGGTTTCACTTGTTACCATATAAAAAATAAGCAAGAAGCATTTTCAACTAAAAATGTTAAGCAGACGCAACTTTATACTCACAACCATATTAGAAAAGATACAAAATCTGGAAATTCACAATTTACATCATGGTTTACATCCTAGAAACTTAATACGCGTATAATATGAACCACATGAACAACCATTGATTTTATATAAAGTGAGCCTTTCAAATAACTTGAGCGAAACCAAAAAAAAAAAAAAGATTCTCACCAGAAGAACAAAACAAAGATTCGTTTAATTATGTGATATTTCTCGGAACACATAGAAAGTGAATTCCCGTAATACTAAAACATTGAAT